AAACATATTAAGATACAAGTTAAACAGTGACTTGTATACAGGTAATTGTAAAGAGAGATAAGTTAAGAGAGAGAGAGCTCATTCTCTATCAAGATTCTCAACTTTAAACTGAATTTACGATATTATTTCTTAGAAATTTATATATTTAGAAGTTTAATTTACATATTTTCGACTTTAAAATATCTAATTATTGCAATTTTCTACATAAAAATCGTACAGAATATCATAGAGATGTGTTAGAAAATCAAAGTAGTGATAGATGAGTATCTTCACTTTAAAGCTAATTTATAAAATTATTATTGAAAATTTGTTAATTTTAATGATTAATTTACAAATTTTAGTTATTTAATTTACTAATTCTTAAAAAATTTATTCATTTTCCTCATAAAATTCGCGTAGAATTCCGTGTAGAAGTAAGAGAAAATCGAAATGACATACATGTACTTTTGATGGAGAGATTTTCGGTTTTGAAAAGACTTTATGAAATTATCATGTAAATAATTACAAATTTATCTTTAATTTATAAATTTTAACCTCTAAAATCTCTAATTTTTTCAAATTTTTCTACTAAAAACGCAAAAATAAAGTCGTAGAGAAGCGTAAGAAAACTAGAAACAAGGACGTATCGATGAGATTTGTCTTCGTTAAAGTTACATCTTTAAGTTAAATTTATAAAATTATTGTTAAACAATTTACAAATTTACAGTTAAATTAGCAAATTTAAACCTTTAAAATATCTAATTCTTTCAAGTTTTCCTACTAAAAACACGAATGAAGACATATAGAAGTGTAAGAAATCGCCGATGTATATAGTAGGATATAGCAGGTTTTATATTTCGCATGGGGTTCAGTAGGATAAGTAAATCTGGGAGTAACCTTATCCTAGCCAACGTCACGACCCCCTACCAGTTAGAGGGTCATTGTAGCCCAGCCCCCAATTCCTATATGGACCATTCCCAACGTAGGGGTGTTCCTGCAGATAGAGAAAGAGGGGGGAAAGAGAGCAGTACACCTACACTACACACTGAAGAAGGGGGAGGGAAGTGTTTTCTCTTAAAAACTAGTTGAAGAAAGTCGAAAAAACACATAGAAGAATTGAATAATGTCGAAATAAAAAGTGAAAAATAACGTAAGAAATGTCACGAGACAGTCAAATAAGCGGGAACATCCATCAAAATTTATAAAAATATGATGGATACAGGGGGGTGTACACAGACGAATTTTCAATTCTATGAAATATTTATGGGTGGAGGAACACTGGAAACATAAAAAAATATATATTCTTTTAATCTTTAATACATTTACAGTAGCAACAACAAATATATATATATATATTTAATATTAATAGGAACACTTTTACAATAAGTACATTTGTCCTGTTACAGAGAAGGGCTTTAGTCTGTATGAAAAATGGCGTCATTCATCTTTTCACTTAACTCGTAGGAAAGAAAAGAAAGTAGGGGAGGTTTATACGTGTATTAGGCATCCTTACCTACCCCCTACGAAAAAAAAAATAACAAAGAAAAATGAAAGCCCAGCTCTGATTGGTTGTAACAATCGAAGGTTGGAGTAGTAAAGGAGGGGGTTAGACCAACGACGTTTTCCCTTTCTTCGTTCTCCTTCTACCACCTGGCGACAGTTTGGAAACGTTGGAAATCCCCCTGAAAGAATAGAAAAGGGGGGAAGCGAAGACGTAAGCCTTTTAGAAAATCCTTTGTTTTCGCCGCACTTTACCCACGGAGTGCCAATCATACTCTTGAATCATCGATTTTTCTAGGGGTGTGTTGTTATCTTCTGAAGGTTTTTTTTTTCTTTTTATGCAACTTCTCCCCACCCCCTCGTCTCTCTACCTTCTTATAATGTCGTTTGCAGGGAGAGGATTCCTCTAAAAGGGGTGTTTTTTTTATAAAACGAATCAATTAACGGATGTTGAAGCGCGCTCGTGAAAATCCCTCCAACTGCAACATCTTTGCTTTATCAACCCCGTGTATAATGGTGGTGGAGTTGTGTGTGGGGTTTATTTATGAGGTTTAAATTATCATAAGAGTGAGTCCTTTTTTTGTTTTCTCGCTTAATTTTCGAGATTTTGGACTTTTTCTTTTTCTTTCTCTCTCTCTCTCATCCAATCGATGGGATGGTAAGAGGATGCACATTGGTAAAATGGAAAAGAGGAAGAGATCTCTCTGTGGAACCGGAAGGGGATCTCCAGAGGGTTTATTTATGAGTAAACTTGGATAAATTAGCATTAAATTAGGCCATACTACATACATTTTTCCTGGTTTTGAGAAATTCGGGAAGTTCCTGGAATGATGCATAGTTTGCTAGAAGTATTCTTTACGGCTGGAGGAAGATGAATGTCGTCTTGTTTACTCATACAAACCGCTTAAAATAAGGAGATTAAGTTTAAAAAGTGAGGAACTTCTTTCGGAATTCGGAAAGATCCCTGAGCAAACAACACCTCTTTCTACGTGGCTCCAGTGTCAGTTTGAGGTTTTTCTGTGAGGGAGTAAGTTAGATTTCAACCAATTTTTTTGAAGTTTTGGGGCAATTTTAGGAACCATACTTGTACGAAATAGCCAACATAGATAGGATATATCGAGGAAATGTTCTTTGAGTGAAGTTATGAAGATACACACTAGGATAGTGTTTAGGGGTACTTATAAGAGTATAAATGTGTTAAATTCGAGGCGCAAGATGGCGATTTTAAGAAAATTTACGGTTGTAAAGTCCATCACGCGGACAAGAAGTAGAAGAGATGTGTTTTGGTAACACCAGAGTAAAGCGGAAGTCGAAAAGGCCGGAAGGAGCGAGCGAGAGAGAGAGACTGCTGCGTGTTATCTACCGGGGGAATCGAGGTCCGCTATGTTTCGGCTGCCAAGTCATTAATCAGTCAGTGCAGCCGGCGGCATCCCTTCTTCATTCTGCGTGATTGATCGGCTCTTCCTCTTCTGCGCATTATAAAACCGCACCGATACCTTTTTCATCCACTTTTTCCATCAGGTACAAGAGCAACGTCTCTCTTACATCTGTGTAAACCTCTACCCACTTTTGCTGCACCTCTTGCTATACATATACACCCACACACACTAGCATATACACACGCAAGCACGAGGTCTCTCTCTCTCTCTCTCTCTCTCTCTCTACCTTCCAGCCATTTACAGGAGTGTGTAGTTTGTCTCTAATGAATTCCCCCTCTCTAGATTAACAGTATATCTTGACAAATTGTAAACTGAATTCTGTATAAATCTCCACTTACTTAAAATGCTTGGCTTACTACTTAAAAAATGGTGGTCTTCTACTCTCTTTTTTTTCCTCCCTTCTAAACAACCCCTTTTACACAGGGATACTTTGAAAATTAATCTTACCTGTCCGTTGTTTTTGTAAATATAAAAGTAAATTGATAGATTAATTAATAAGTAAGAGAGTAAAAGAAAATAAAAACAATTAAACTCGCCTGATTGTAAACGTAACAATTAAAAAAAAACACACACACACACGCGCGCGCGCAATCGAAACAATTAAAGTGTGTATTTCCTATAATAAAATGCAAAATTTAAAAAAGAAATGTCATTTTCAATAGTAAAATACATCCAATAATATTGAAATCTACAACCAAATCACGTGATTCAAACGTAACAATTGAAATTTACAGTCAAATCACGTGACTGAAACGTAACAATTAAAATTTACAGCCATGCCACGTGACTGAAACGTAACAATTGAAACTTACAGCCAAATCACGTGACTAAAACGTAACAATTAAAATTTACAGTCATACGACGTGACTGTAAACGTAACAATTGAAATTTACAGCCAAATCACGTGACTGAAACGTAACAATTGAAATTTACAGCCATGCCACGTGACTGTAACGTAACAATTGAAACTTACAGCCAAATCACGTGACTAAAACGTAACAATTAAAATTTACAGTCATACGACGTGACTGTAAACGTAACAATTGAAATTTACAGCCAAATCACGTGACTGAAACGTAACAATTGAAATTTACAGCCATGCCACGTGACTGTAAACGTAACAATTAAAAAATTCAAATGAAAACGACAGAATTGAATAAATAAAATGAAATTTACAATTAATTTGAGCAGCTGAAGTCACGTGAATGGAAACGTAACAATTAAAAAATAATAATCAATTTTAAATAATGCAATTGACACTTTAACAATTGAAACTCGTAACAAATTTAAAAAAAAAAATGAAATTTACAACAAAATTAAAAGGAATTGAAATCACGTGATCGAAACGTAACAATTAAAAAAAAAGACAAAAATAATCGACGTCATCCGAAGAAAAAAGAAAACAAGTAGAAAAATTTAACAAGTGAAAGAAATCAACTGATATCATCTATTAACCGGAAAGAAGTCTCTTAAAACACAAGATATACTAAATCTAACAAAATGGAAGCAAACAAGCAAAGTAAAAACACTTAAAACAAACAAGAAACACATCATTTTACGTAGAGGAACATAAATCAAGAACAATGCCTTACTGTCTTTTTTCTTTTTTTAGATTTCTATACGAGTTAAACGTAACAGAAGCAGCAAAAATTAATTAAAAAAAAACACTGAAAATTTTGTTACGAAATACCGAAAGTTTGTAAACTTCATCTCTTTTTTTTGGAATTTAATATTGTTTTTTTGGATTTTCCCACAAAATTCCGTCTCTTAGATGAAGTTTCTTGAAAGAATTCAAGTGTGTTTATTGGTAGGGAGGATGTTGATGGAGTCGAGATGATGCTGAAGATGAAGAGAAGAAGGAAGGAAGTTGGAAAAGAGGATACGAAAATAAGGCCTACATTATATATTTTATATATTAATACGAGGGATGCTGAAGATAAAAATAGGGAAGAGAGTGAAAAATCTAAGATCCTGTAGCGTTAGAAGGATGCTGAAGATAAAAATGAGGAGGAAAGTTGGAAAAGGGAGAGAATAATAGTAGAAAGATGAGGTGTCAGTTTATTTTAAATTCAATTATTAGGGATGACGTTGATAGAGTTAGAAGAGGAGGATATGTTGGAAAAGTAGGAGAATAATAATAGAAATATAAGGCCCTATATTTTGTTTAAAATTCTATTGTTAGAAAGGATGTTGTTAGAGTTAGGAAAGATGCTAAAGATGAAGAAAACGAAGAGGAAAGTTGGAAAAGGGGGAAAATAATACTAGAAAAACAAGGCCCTGTATTTCATTTTAAATACTGAGGTTGTTAGTGAGGATGTTGATAGAGATGGAAGGATGCTGAAGATGAAGAAGAGGAGGAGATGTTAGAAAAGTAGGAGAATAATACTAGAAAAACAAGGCCCTATTTTCCATTTTAAATACCGAGGTTGTTAGTGAGGATGTTGATAGAGATGGAAGGATGCTGAAGATGAAGAAGAGGAGGAGATGTTGGAAAAGTAGGAGAATAATAGTAGAAAAATAAGGCCCCATATTTTATTTATCGACTGAAAGAAAACATTAAAAGTTAAATTTAATTTTACAAATTTGATCATTATGTGGCATGACTGTGTAAACAAATGCAATATGTTGTTAGTTTTCGATTAGTTTCCTGCGGATTTATTAACTGACGGACATCATTATTTATTTTGTTATTTGCCTTAATTACTTTGCTTAATTTTTATTTTAAAACAAATTTTAATGGATTTTCCACTCTTAATGGCTTTCAAACTTAAGAGAAAAAAAGGAAAACATAATGATAATTTTCTCTTTGCACACTTCTTAGAATTTATTCTGTTTTTCAAAGGCTAAATTAATGTAAATAGCCTTATATTTATGAAAATAAACATTCGATAAAGGCTCCTATCGATACAGAAAGGCTAGCGTTATAAAGAGGTGTTTTTGCTGTTTCTCTTAATGAAAACCCCTACTTTCTAATTAATTATTTAATTCTAAAGTTTTCATGGAAGGCTCACAACCTTAAACTTTAAGTTTTTGAGCCTTTAAATGTATTATCCTTTGCAGGAAAAAGTCCTCTTCGATCCATTTTTGTCTCCTCAGTAGAATTCAAGATGCGAAAGATGCAATTAAAATCGATTAATTAATGGTTAAAATACACAATGGAAGGCTTAGTAAACAGTTTTATGCCTGAAATAAATATTTATAAACATTTAAATGTAATAACTTTCTAATGGAGTAGGTTATGGAGCCTATATAATAACAGAAGCCTGCTCATAAAGGTTTTGTAACCTAACAAAGCCTTATATTGTACTAAAATATTAGAACAATATATTAAGGCTTTGTAAGCCTTACTTAGAGTCTTAAATTTATAGGCTGATAATCTATAAATATGCTTTAAAGCCTTAAAAAAGTAACCTAAGCTTACTACTAGATATTTTTAAGGCTAGAATAAATTGAAATTAGACTTGTTTTTATATTGTTTAGCCTACATTTAAAGGCTCTTCGTATTGTATTTAATAAAATATAACTCGTGATTTAGATCAATAGATAACATGATGCACAGACTGCTTCAGTAGGTTTATAAATATTACAATCGTAACTAAGCCTGTTATATTGGACAAGTCTTTAGCCTTAATTGAGCCTGTAGCCTTGGAAAAGCCTGTAGGCTATAGAAATTCATAAAAAACCGACTTAAAATCGACAAAAATCCTAAGAATTCGATTCGTTTAACGTAACACAACCAGTTCGATCAGAATTCGTGGTTCCTAATTTCCCTTGTACAAACTTAATTAACGATGATTATACATCATCACAGCATCACTCGACTCCTCAAGCTCCTGTTTAGTACATTAAGTTCAGTAGATACATACGGGAGTTTATTATATTGTTGAGAAAAGTAGAATATATCTCGCAGTGATTCATTACTGGTAGGTCAACAGGGAGGACAACATGCTGGGGGGTGAGGTTTAAAATTCCACGCCCGACGGGGAGTAACGCAGAGTGTAGAAGCCAGTTCCCTCCCCTACCGAATAGATTTGTCCAGAGATGACAAAGGAGGGGCCACAACCGAACAAACAAGGGAAAATGTTTATAAATTTAATAACATAAATCTTCCATACGATCCTATAAGAGTAGGAGCTTTGAAGACCGAAAAAAAAAAAATGGTAGATTTTTGGGGAAAATACCTTAAAATGTGTTCACTTGAAGGAAAAATTACGGCAAAATATATGTACTTTTCCTAGAAACAATGCCAAAATATACCCTCTTTTTCAGAGAAAACAATGAAAACGTACAATTCTTCTGAGGAAAACAATGACCAAATACACAACTTCTTGAGGGGAAAATACCAAAATATATACGCTACTTTCAGGGAAATAATGAAAGAATGTACTGTACATTTTTCAGGAAAATAACGTTAAACTACACGTCATTTTGAGGGAAATAACGATCAAGTACAATCTTTTGTGAGGGAAACAATGCCAAAGTACAAGTATGTATTCTTTTTGACAGGAAAAATGACAAAGTGTACATCTTTTATAAAGCAAAAATAAAAAAAAACAAGTACATCTTTTAGAGAAATAATGAAAAATACGTTCTATATACAAAATGTACATATAATTTCTACAATTATATAACTATATAATATTATAGAAAGGTAAAGAAACTATACCTTATTAAATTTTATATATATTTATTTCCTACAAGATCCTATACACTTTTTGTAGGAACGTAAAGTAGTGTAAAAAAGGGAAGAAGAGGATGATAAATCCTTCCAAATCCAGATAAAACCGCACAAGTTGTGCGGTTTGTTAACAACATGAAGTTGGCAGGATAAAGATGAGTGATGGCTAGTTCCTCCCTATACTATCTTTTTCTTCTTCCTATTTAATTCGTCAAATCGAATTTAATTGTAAAGCAGTAAAGGTTGGGGGTAAAAATAGGGGGGGGGGAAAGGGAGAGGGAAAAAAACAGTCGAAGTTGTGTGTAACTTACCTAAAAATTCGCAACACGTTCCACTTTCTTTTTCGTCTTTGTTGCTTACGTTTCCTTATCACGTGATCCCTTTTAATCGCTCCTAGTTTTGATCCTAATTGTTAGGAATTGAAGAACACAAGTGGAGTTGCAAGCTAATATCCTGGATAAATTTGAGTTAAAGTTTCTTCCCTTTATTTTTTCTTTTAGTTTCAGAAGAGAGAGAAAAAAAAATTGGGATGAAAATTATCTTCCTAGCGTTTTAATAAGGATAAAAATGTGGAATTTTGGATTTAGAAGGATTAAAATTCTGATTAAAATCCTATCTAAAGAGGTTTAAATGCACGTATCCTCTTTAAATCCTCCGGGAGATGAAGTTGGAGGAGGGTACGACCTTGTCAAAATACTTAAATTTCAAGCGAAATTCCTTGGTAGATTGTAAATTTTGATTTGGAATTTGTAGAAGGATTAAAATTCTAATTATAATCCTATTTAAAAAGATTAAAATACGTGTATCTTAAATGGTTGAGAGAGTTGAAATTTATAATTTCAACTCCCATAATAACTCCTAACCATTATAATTCCAACTCTTGCACCCATTATAATCCCAACGCTTGCATCCATTATATTTCCAGCTCTTGCACTTATCATAATACCAACTCTTGCATCCATATAATTCCAGCTCTTGCACCCATCATAATACCAACTCTTGCACCCAGCATTCCAGCTCTTGCACTTATCATAATACCAACTCTTGCATCCATTATAATTCCAGCTCTTGCACCCATCATAATACCAACTCTTGCACCCAGCATAATACCAACTTTTGCGCCCATTATAATTACAATTCCTGCGCCCATTATAATCCCAACTTTTGCACCCATTATAATTACAATTCCTGCACTCATAATAATTTTAACTCTTGTAGTCAGTCCCAACTCCCGCACCCTCACCTCACTAGTGTCAATCGAAGCGGCATAAAGACCAAACTAGGAAATAATAACAATTTTAGCGGTACCAGGAGCAATTTTTAACACAGATCCACATTTAAAAAGAAAGAAAAAAAAGAAACAATACCCCACGCGCAAACACGAGATGACGTTATCGGGTTTCTAGGAGTGTTCAGAAATAAGAAGAGAGAAAAAAACCGTGGTATCATGTTCTACATCTACCCTGTAGAACCGAGTTTGTATGGTGGTTTTGAAACCAAATTCGGTTCTAGAGTGGTTTGTGTGGTACATGCCTGAGACTGCCCCACTAGCGACTGGATGATGCATGCTCTCCGGGGTCAGAGCGTCAAGTCGGTGATTCTGGCATCGACCGACGAGCAATACGTCTTGGCTGCCTCACATCCTCGTTACTGACGTCTTAATGCTTGTTAGCTCTTGTCTCTATTTATACAAACGTTATTGTTCTGTTTGTCATCCTCTCTACGAATAAACCGACCGTTGTTGCACGATAAATGATGCGAAACAACGCGCTCTTTATTAACTGAAGGCAGTTTAATAATCGTTTCGTCATTCTAACGCTTATTTTCTCTTAAGTACCTTTAAGAAGAATCGACGTGCGGGCCATTTACTGGAAGAATCTCCGTTCTGTTACGTTTAATGGTAAAAAAACGTCTATGACGTCGTCCCGGACGTTATCGTAACTTCTACGTCTATTCTATCGTTCGAATTCAATTGAGTTCGTGTATTAGGATCGTAATTTAATATTCTAACTATATTTAGTGGTTTTAATTGGGTTTTAATTATATTTAATTGTCTTTTTTCGTGGTGAAAGGTTACGGTGTCGCCAAGTCGCGCTGCAAAAATTGCCTCGAAATTAGTTTTTACGACCCTAAAACCTTAATTTTACGCCGTTAAGTTTTTTTAAAAAAAACCTTATAAAGGCTTAATAGCCTTAAAGCCTTAAAATACATGTTGAAACATTAAAAAAATCAACCTTGTTGTTACTTAATCCAATCGCCGCTGTATCAAATCCTCCAATTAAAGGCTACGAGACACGCATTCCGTACCCCTCAGGGGGCATAAATGGATAGAAAAATACGTGTGAAACGTATTTTACATTGTTTAAAATGTAGTTAGGCCCGTTGCTTGTCTTCCATGGTTCAGAAACGTTAAGAGAAGCCATTGGCCCCCGTTAACTCCGCCTAAAATATGGGAGGGGACCCCACACGGAACGACAATACTTCAGCAAGCTGGAAGACACACACACACACACACACACTTGGACATTTTTTCCTTCCCCTCTCCTTCTCTCCCCCTTGT